CTTTGGTGTGGGTTGCATCTCAATATAAAGAAAACAAAGATCCTCACCACTGGACCAATCAACAACCTCCATATCAACGGAGAAAGATTGAAGTTGTCATAGATTTCATTTTGCTCAGATCAACCTTCAACACTCATGGAAGCAGCAGTCAAGAAATCAAATGATGTATTGCATTGGCAAATCTGCTACACAAGACCTTTTTAAAATGTTGAAGAGCAAAAATGTCAGTTTAAGGACTAAGGTGTGCCTGATCCAAGTCATGGAATTTTCAATAACCTTATATGAATGTGAAAGTTGAACAGTGAATAAGGAATACCATAAAAGAATTGATGCATTTGAGTTGTGGTGTTGGAGGAGAATATTAAGAGTACCATGGACTGCCAAAAATAAAACTGATCTGTGCTTTAAAAAGTACAGTCAGAATGCTTCTTGGAAGCCAAGATGGCCAGACTTCGTCTCTTATACTTTGGACATATCAGGAGACACTGGAGAAGGGTATCATGTTTGGTAAAGTGGAGGGTCGAAGAAAAAGAGGAAGACCTCCAACAAGATGGATTAGCACAGTGGCAGCAGCAATGGGTTTAAATACAGCAATGATTGTTAGGTTGGCACAGAACCAGGTAGTGTTTCATTCTGTTGTGCATAGGGTCTCTATGAGTCAGTTATGGCTTGATGGCACCTAACAACAGCAACATACAGCCCTTAGGACTCCTGGTATGGCACTGTAGGGGCAACCCTGGACTGTGAACCATAAGATTGAAAGTTCGAACCCATCAGCTGTTCTTCAGAAACCCTATGCAGTGTAGCTATGAGTAGGAAACTACTTGATGCCAACTAACAAAACAACAACGTAAGTCCTGAAGACAGAACGTCCCCCCCTCCCCCACCACCCCCACTAGAGTTTCTGATATTGTAAATCTTTATGGGAGCAGACACCTCATCTTTCTTCCATGCAGTAGCTGGTGGATTTGAATCTGCAAACTTTCAGTTAACAGTCCAGTACTTAACCCACAGCAAAACCAGGTTTCCTTCTAAATATAGCAGTAGTGGATAACATTTTAAACTGTTGCTTAGGTGATTCAAAATATTAGCCTTCTCTGATTAATTTTTGGTTGTAATTTAATCACCAGGAAGAGAAAATTCTATGCCTTTGCCCTTCTTACCAGAATCATAGCAACAATAAATCATTTGCAGCTGACTAAGAGGAAACCTGCCTAGAGTGTGAAGATAACATTATCAATTTCCAAGAGAGTTATGCAGAATTCTGTCTTCCTTAGTCTTTGCAGGAAGTCCCTGGGTTGTGCAAATGATTTTTGCTGGGCTAGTAAACTAACCAAAAGGTTAGAGGTTTGAGTTCACCCAACAGGCTACAGAAGAAAGTCCTAGCGATCCTCTTATAAAGCTTGTTTTCAAATGCTGTAAAGTCAGTTCTGACTCATCGCAATCCTGTATAGGATTTCTAAGAAGCAGGTGGTGGGTTCGAACCACTGACCTTACTATATAAGATCAGAGTGATTGAAAACACTAATGAGTAGTTCTGTTCTTACTCACATAATGTCACAATCAACTTCATGGCCATGTGCTTCTTTGTTTTATTTTCTTTTCAATCTTTGCAGGCAGAATCAAAGCAATTTTCATTAGTGACCACTTATAATCTTCTATTAAGAATGTACTCATAAAGTATATTTATTTTTCTTCTTATTACCAGATAATGAGTATTGAATTTTTTGAAGCCTTTAGTGAGAAGTTAAAATAAAAAGAACAAATGTTGTTTTTACCTAAAATTTCCCTAAAAGATCACTGTGTTCCCATTGCTTTGTTATGGATGATGATGATGGTGTTTGATGGTTGATGCTGGTGATGATGCTGATCGTGATGGTAGTGATAATGGAATGATAAGGTGATGATGGTGGTTATGAAATGAATTTAAAATCAACAGGTTAAATAGATGACTTCTCTCCAAGCCTAAAATTAGACTCTGGCCTTCTATAGAAAATGTTAGCACTGTATTTTCCTAATAAAAATAAGGTATCACATAAATTAAGAAATTAAGATTAGATTTGTCATGGAAAAATTACTTCATTTTATTGATGGAGGTAAACTATTTCAATTCCATGTTTTTATTCCATTAAAAATAAAGTAAAAGAAATGTTAAAACAGACTTCTGAGAGTGGCTTTAAGTTTACAGAAAGGTGCCATATTCCCTCTTCTCCCCACTTCTTCCTGTATATTATTTCTTCTATTATTAAATTATTAAGATTTTGCATTCATGCAATGTTGTTGTTGCTGTTAGGTGCCATTGAGTAGGTACCAACTCATAGCGACCTTATACACAAAAGAATGAAACACTGCCCGATCCTGGGCCAACCTCACTACTGTTGCCACGCTTGAGTCCATCGATGCTGCCACTTGGCCAATCCATCTCGCTGGGGAACTTCCTATTTTTCTCTGACCCTCCACCTTACCAAACATGATATCCTTCTCCAGCGACTGATCCCTTCTGACAATATGTCTGAATGCAATAAATTTGTTTAATTTAATAAACCAATATTGACACATGATGATTGGCTAAAGTCTAAAATTTACATTAGAATTCACCCCTTGTGTTAATGGTCCTGTGGATTTTGACAAATAAGTACGAGAAGGAATCTTTTTTTATTTTTTAATGAATTAAACATTTAGCAGTTGAACCAAATAAAGTAATGCACATTGTATTCTTATTTAACGTAATCAAGTAAAGGTTAAATCACTTTGATCATCTTTAATCAACTGTTATTTGGTTGAAATCCAGTTTTGTTTCTCTGTGTTTGTTCATGGCCTTTCTGATTTTCTTATCATCAGCAGGAATATTCTTACCAGGGCAATGGTAGATTTCTTACCTTCTTTAGGAAGATGTCATCCTATCTGTATGTTACAGACTTATTTCACAATCTGGAGCAACACTCTTTATCCAGGCTTAATTTGCTAAATGACCTCTTAGCTCTCTGCATCCTGGTTTGGCTAAATGATGTTAGCTTTCACTTTGCTATCTGAACTGCAGAGACTACCAGTGGGAACCTTGCTGGGAGAGATGCCAGGCCAACTTTGGCAGACTCTTTTGGAAGGAACCATGTTTAAATGAAATTCTAAAAGCTCCTCCAGCAAATTTATGTCACTATGAGCTAAACATGAGAAACACATTTTGTGAAGTATAGATATTCAATATATTTTTAAGAGAAAGAAATTTTCTGTCTTCCTCCTCATCTCCTTAAGGTTCTCTGCCAGCCCCCTTGCCCTCTTCCACTCCCAGCTTCAGTAGTCCTCCAGCCTTTTAGGACTGATAGACTCCAGGTGAAATCACAATCTGGGTTTACTGATTGTGGCCAGTCTTTCTTTTACCTCCCACATTTTCCTAGCCTTATGTTCACCAAGAAGGATCCAAGGATCCATGGGATAATGAGATTATCAACTAGGTCCACAGGCCGGAAAAACCTTTCAAACATTAACTTCAAAGACTAGATCATCATAATTTAAGAAATGCAATGTAAACAGGAAAAAAAAATGGGTGGGCGATTGTAAACTGCTAGTGATTAAGTGCTAATAGGGTCTTTGGGCTGTGTAGCTGCCTGTATCCAGTACTGCCAATTATATCTCTCTCAAATGTATGAAGAGTCCTTAAATTGATTTTTCTTAGTGAACCTAACACATCATTTGTAGTCTCAGTTACAGTGAGAGAATACATTAGCAGTATATCCAGTTCTCACTGATTAACTGAATTTAGCAATTTCACCTATAGCAAAAACATAAGTAAGTGGAAAGCAAACTTCAGGACAGCTTGGCTTTTCTGGGTATCCCTAGAATTTAATACACTATTGTGTTAATTGATTTGATTTTGTTAATACTCATGGAATCTATGTATTTCATAAATTATGGAAATGAATTTATTTTCATTATCTTCATTGATTGGGAATGTTTACTAACAGTATTTCTTTAGTAGCTCTATAGGATTAGCCACAAGGTCAGTAGTTCAAACCCACCAGCTGCGCCTCGAGAGAAAGATGAGGCTTTTTCCTTCTGTAAAGATTTACAGCTTTGGAAACCCTATACAGGGTCTCTATGAATCAGAACCAACCCCATGGCATGCAAAACAGTCTTCTTTGAAGGTTTATTCCTTCTGTATAGAAATGTAGATATAAAACATGCCATTGATTAGGCCAGAGTTCCTTTCAGCTAATTTTTGATTTCTTACAATGGATTCCTGATTTTTTTAAGTTTGATTCTTGATTTAATGCTTCCTTTTCAGAAGCTTTTTATAATGCAATAAGAGGTTTCAATAACTGATAGTTTTTAGTATATCTTGTGCATTCAGTGGCATGAGGGAAATGCTCAGTGTTGCAGAATCTTGAGGGAGTGGCAGATATTAGCGGTCAAAGCCAAGTAATAATTCATGGCCTGCATTCCATCAACAGTTCTAAGTGTCTGTTAAATGAAAGCCACTGCATAACATGCAAGGAATGTAAAATTCTGTGGAATGTAATGGAATATGGAATCATATGAAATACATGATCTCCAACCCCAACACATTTATAATCTAGTAAATAAAAAGAGAAAGATTAGTCCAAACAAAGCAGACAGCATAGTCAGGACAAGTTGTGGTCCAAATCTGTGTTCACTGTCCAGAAAGAGCCAAAGGCGCTCTTTAGAGATTTGGCCTGCACACAGGTTTATATTGAGGATGTAGATAGAAACCAGTGGTCAGCTTGTGGGGCCCAGGGTCACATGGTCAACAGTGGAGACACAGAAACATGACATTAGGATAAACCTCATTTAGTTTCCAAGAGAATTTATATGCCTTTCATTTGTTACTTTTGTTTTCTCTCCTACATAGGAAGGGTCAGATCCCTGGTGGGATCATCATAGAGGAAGGCAATAAATGTATGATAATGAGAAGCCTATACATGTGCTAACAAAAGAAGCTCATCACACCAATTTCTGATGTATTGTTTTCTTTTTATTTGCAGAACCACCCAAAGTCACTGTGATGCCCAAGAATCAGTCTTTCACAGGAGGGTCTGAGGTCTCCATCATGTGTTCAGTAACAGGTTATCCCAAACCAAAGATCTCCTGGACCTTGAACAATATGTTTATCATGGGTTCACACAGGTACTGGGTTTGTATCATGTTCTCTGTTTCGATTGAGTGAGAAAAAAATGATGACGTTCCCGGATAAAACTGATCTGAGCAAATCCCTAAGATTAAGTGAGATTTAACCAAAACCCTCACAGCTTTAGATTTCTTAAACAGGCCAGGAAATGTCAAAAAATATATGTAAAGTCTGTGGTTATTAAGTTTGAATTCACTAGCTAGAACTAAGTACTTTCTAATACTTTGTGTTGCATGTGATAGCACTGCATTATAATAGTTGTTTTACCTTGGATAATTAAAATGAGGGTGATAAATATTCTATGGAGTAAAGGAACATGTACCTTTAACAAATCAAATAAAGGTACAGTTTTGGAATTTAACAGAAGAAAGAAGAAGAAACAAAGTACACAATAGTAGTTTTGATTAAAGTGGGTTACAGACATTTTTGTAACTACTGTCCACTTTTTTCATACTACATTTGTGAGACGCTTTGTTCTTCTGGATGCTTTTCTAAAGACATTGAATCTTCTTATACTCGAAGAGTGTAACCAATATGAGGAACATAAACAATGAACTTTCCAACCATCGGCCTTCCATTACTCTGGGTTTGGCATAAGGAGGAAGGCTTAGGTATGATCCAGGAAGTTAAGCCAGATTCTATTCCTAGACTCACTCATCACTGACTCACTATGTGACAAGAGACATTTCATCCCTAAGGTTTATATTATGAGGAATACTTTAGCATAGCAGTGCACCACATGGAACAAGATTGCCTGGGTGAAAATTCCATTTCTTCTACTTTCTTGTTCTGACCTTGGGCAAGTTATGTAACTTCTTTGTATATTTGTGAAATACAGATAATGATGTTGTTGTTAAGTGCCATCAAGTGGGTTCCGACTCATAGTAGCCCTGTATAGGGTTTCTAAGGAGCAACAGGTGACTTTGCATTGCTGACCTTGCAGTTCAAAATGGTCTTTCAGTCCGTTGCATTATCCCACAGTGCACATCAATAATAGTGTCTAATGTATTGGGTTGTTATGGAGATTCAAATATTAGTAAATGAAAAATTCCTAGAACAATCCATGGCACATAGCAAATATGAGGTACATGTGATTAATGTTATTATTATTATTATACCTTTGCTTAAAAAGTTATGATGCTAATCATTTTTGCAATGAACATCAAAAATATGAGTTTGAGATATTTGAAGGAAAGATGATACATTTATTGTGGTATTTTCAATTTTCTTTTTGTTTGTTTATTATCCATAGGTATAGAATGACCTCAGATGGTACCTTATTTATCAAAAATGCAGTTCCCAAAGATGCAGGGATATATGGCTGCATGGCAAGTAATTCAGCTGGGATAGATGAACAGACGTCTACCCTTAGATACATTGGCAAGTATTATTAGTTTAAAAGGCAATTGAAATAAATGATTTCCATAAAAATCAAAGTTAAAAAATTATTCTGAAAATTTATAGTAGAGATTTATACTTAATACTGTAATTCAATTATCCACTTCACACATTGATTAAAGAAAATATTATAACTTATTTAAATCCAAAGTGCAGGGAGTGAATAGCTTCTTTAGTCAACAGAAACCAATGAAGCTTCCAGTTTAAGAGAATTTCAGGTTATCCAGAGTTTTACCCTCCATGATTCATCTGCTCTCTATAATATTTAATTTTCAAATTAATGAATTCTGTATCTTTTTAACTTTTCTCAGTTTCTATTTTCCATTTCTCCTTTACAGTCAAAACTATTTATACTCTTTCTGCCCTTTGACTTGTCTAAGGATGATTTTCATTTTCCATCACTTTCTGACCTCCACACACAAACATTTATTGAAGGTCTGTTGCATGGTAATGGTTCTGTAGATATTTCTACTAAGAGGTTCTTTCTTAATCAAATAGTGATAAAGACCCTAGAAGCTGAGTGTTCGTTTATGAAATATGGATATTGAATGGCTAGCAATTTACCCTCTCTCTCATCCTTAGTCTCCATTCATTCAGATAAGGAAATGAAAACTGGCAATGGAAACAAAGGGATATAACACAAGTCACAAAAATGATAGATGATTGACTTTGGAGTGGACAGCTGAGAGAAGAAACCAAAGCAGCTCAGGTCTTAAACCTGGAAGCAGGAAAAGAAATGGTCTCATTTGTAAGAGGAGGCTTCAAATAGCTCATGAGAAAATCGAATTATCTTTTAATTTCATTTTCCTATGAACTTTTTGAAGCCCCCTTATACAAATGAGGGAAATGACATCGAGAGAATAAATTTGAAATGAAAGATGGACTCCTATTTGGAGCTAACTAAATAAAAATGTTTGCAGAACACCCAGTTGGAAAAGGAACAGTCAGTTGGGAATATAGAATGAGTGTTTGACACATAACTCAATATTGGAGAAATAAATTTTGGTTCATTTACATAAGCATGAAAATATTCACCACAGGTATTTAATTAGTTATGCACCCAGAGTATGCAAAGAATTTAAAAAAAAGGAATGTCACAGTGTCCTCACCTTCCAGAAACTTACATGAGCGTGATAGAAACATAAAAGAAAGGGATATACCAAGATTGAGAGACAAGTACTACAGTGAGAAGTGGGCAGAAGGGAAGATTAGTTTTAGCTGTGGAATTTACAAATCATTCTAAAAGGAAGTGGGACTTAAATTCAGTCTAGAAGAATGAGTGGGATTTGAAGAGTGTGTCAAAGGACATTTCAGGCATAGGAAACAGCTTTAACTGTTTTGAAAGAGAGTCACAAAAAACAAACCCACTACTGTCAAGTCTATTCTGACTCATAGTGACCCTATTGTTATTGTTGTTAAATGCCATCTAGTCAGTTCTGACCCATAGCAAACCAGTATAGGGTTTCCGAGGAGGAGCAGCTCTCCAGCACATTAACCCACAGCGCCATGCCAGGCAGGACTCCAGAGTAAGATAGCTCCTAAGGTTTTCCAGTCTGTAAAGCAGATTGCCTCATCTTTCTCCCCCAGCAGCTTGTGTGTTCAAACCACTGACCCTTTTGGTTAGCAGCCCAATATAATCCATATTTGAGATGTTAACTCTTAGCTTTGTTTGAAACAGGGCTTAGAACCATTTCATTTTACCCCTACTGAGAATGTATGTTTCCAGCCCATATAAACTGAATTAGAATCTATAGTTTAACTGGATCACCAGGTAATTCTTAGGTAAGCACTTATAAGATCTTGTTAAAATGTAGATTCTGATTCTTCTATTTGGGCTGGAAATGAAAATTCTAAGCAAGAGATCAATCCAGAATGATTTAAACCAGGGTTCCAAGCCCTGGTTTAAAACTACCTCAATTCAAATTGTTGTTAGTAGTAAGTGCCCTTGAGTTGGTTCTAACCCTGAATAGGGTTTCCCAGGAGTGGCTGGTGAATTTGAACCACTGACCTTGCGGTTCAAACTGACCTTGCAGTCCAGTGCATAATCCCTCAGCACCACACCAGGACTCCCTAGGATATTGTTGTTGTTGTTGTTGTTGGATGCCACTGAGTTGGTTGTGACCCATAGCAACCCTGTATAGGATTTCCGAGGAGTAGCTGGGTAGCTTTGAACTGCCGAGATTGTGGTTCAAACTGACTTTAAAGTCCAGCACATTAACCCACAGCACCACACCAGAACTCTCCCCAGTACATTAGGAAATCCTAAAATGTCCAGATCAGAGAGAGTATGTAATGAATAAAACATCAGGTGTGAGGGCGAAGTAAACAGAGCTAGCTAAGGAAAGACACTTAAGAAATATCTGCATATAATATCAAACGGAAAAGTAGAGTCAAATCCAGAAACTTGTTTTTAAAAAAAAAAAAAAAAAATAGGTGAAAATCCAACCTTAGACTAAATAGCTCTGTAATTAGATATGAATATCCTTAAAAATCAGGTAGACAGTGTTACAAACAAATTCACTGGCAATTGTATTATCAAAGCTTAATTTAACTAAGTCAGTCTTATCAGTCTGTCTCTTTTTATTATTTTTCTAGCATTATTACTATTATCCCTGTCACTGTTCTTTTAGCAATGTATTCAGCTTCCCAAGATTATGTTTTGCTCTTTTCCATTAAAACTTATTAATACATTTCTTAAATCTTTTGATTCTGCATTATCATAATTATTTTGTAGATTTTTCATTAGTTCTGCTAATATGCTGTATTTTGGGCCATAACATTCAATCACATATGTCCATATGCAAGTATATTAGAAGAGTTTCCTTTTTAAAATAAATACTGAAATAGCCGTGAGCACGTAAATACTGGTAGATTATTTTATTGAGTCATTGAGTAAACATAAACAGAGTACTGGTGATATTATACTAAGCACTGACTATTTGCATGCTTGTTCTTTTCAGAAGCCCCCAAATTGATGGTAGTTCAAAGTGAGCTCTTGGTTGCCCTTGGAGACACAACAGTTTTGGAATGTAAAACCTCTGGTGTTCCCCCACCTCAAGTCAGATGGTTCAAGGGTATGTTTCTAAGCACATTCATGTCTGATACACACTTGGTTTTGCCTTTTCTTTTTCTTTTTTAAATGATTTGTTAAAAATTTGTTTTGGTGTGTGACTTAGCAGCCCCATAAAATGTGTTTATGATCTCACTGGGAATGATAACTCAAAATTCTGAACTCTAAATTTCAGGATTTGACATCTGGTGTGGATTATAAATCCATGAAAACCAAGGAAGGAAAAGTCTTCCTTTGGTAATCCAGCTGAACATTAATTCTCCTTGTTGTTTAGGATTGCGTCCTGTAGAAAAATTTCCAGGAATACTCAATTAATGTTTAAAATAGCCTCACTGATTTCAGTTCACCTTTCTTAGAGAAGATAGCTCTCATCATTAAAAAGTTACCCAGATTCTCCAAGATACTGTCTATGAAGTGCTTCCATAAAGGCACACTTTGAAGTTTACAATGAAAGACAAATGTTTGAGTATTCCAGGGCCAGCTTCGTCATGAATGGCAGAGAGTGGTATCAAGTATTGGCATTAACTTTCTGTCTTCATTACAAAAAGATTACATCTCTGTGATTCTATAATAACAGTAATATGAGAATACCCTTGGGTCCTGGTCCAAGCTGTTGCTGATAATAGGAATCTGTGCAAAAAGCCCTACTTCTGCTTCTGTCTCAGTATTTCCAATTTATGAAAAAGAATAATTCCCACAAACACCCTAATAGGGAGGTTGCTAGGATTATTGAGATTCTGTTTGCAAAATAATTTTTAATCTTCACATGAAAAATGCTAAATAGTACAAAGCACTATTGTTGTGGTTCTGTTTGTTAGATCACAGATATTCCCATAGCAACAGGCTGATGTCATAATCACAAAATGATGAATTCACCTCAAGTTCAAACTCTTAGGGAACATGAGGTGAAAAAGAAGCGTTGTATGTAGACAACACTTTTAATACAGATGAACAACAGGAAGGGATACTAGGAGATTATTCCATTTTTGTGATTTTCCGTGTTAAAAATTGTTAAGTCTTGATGTTTCGCTGATAAGAAAACATTTCCAGATTTGCTCCTTAATCTGTTTTATTTTAGTTAACATAAACTCATTTTTATTTATTCAAAATACTGAAATCTTTGGGTTATAAAGGAAATATATTAATTTTTAGCTGAGGTTGTAATGAAACATACCCCCCCCCAAAATGTGTTACAAAGACAGTAGTTTTTTGGTTTTTTAAAAATGTATATCAGTATAGTTTGTGGAGCTCTGTGGTATAGTTTATGGTAGCATAGTGGTGACGAATCTGGCTGCAAACTGCAAGGTCAGCATTTCTAAACTGCCAGCTGTTCCGTGGGAGAAAGATGTGGCTTTCTGATCCCGTAAAGATTTACAGCCTCGGAAACCCTGTACAGGGTCACTATGAGTCAGAACTGACGCTACGGCACTTAACAACAATCAGTAGTTTATGTTGAAAATAAAAATTCAAAAATTAGTGGAGCAGGCTGAGAGCTGTACCTGTATATACCTGAATAATACAGTATCTTTTATTCCCCCAGATTGTAATGCTTCTGAATAAATCCATCTTCATGGCAGCCTGGTCCCACAAATGGCTTACCTCTCTTCACAGTCACTACATAGAAGATTCTGGAATTGACTCCTTATTACTCTCTCCTCTCAATCATGCTATTTTTCTTACTAAGTGCTGTTGAGTTGATTCCAACTCAATAGCGATTCATAGGGTTTCCCAAAGAGTGGCTGGTGGGTTTGAACCAATGTTAGATACTGGAATTCTAGAAATTCAGTAAATAACATCCCTTTTCCCTCTTTGAGTTATGAATCAACAGAGATAGAATAAGGGCATTAGATACTGACGAACTATATTGGAGGAAATTGTTCATAAACATTGGACAGATGGATTTGCACAAAACCTAGAATCAGGCCAATTTATGCTTCCGGTGATTTGTGGACAATTTATCACAGGCACAGAGCCTGGACTACCTAAAGCAAAATCAGGGGAAAGACTCTTGCATGCAAACTGACTCCAGACAAAAAGGGGTGTGAAGCAGCTTGACCTTCCTTCTCAACTGGGGAACAAGATGCCAGCAAGGTTAGGAAAAAATCTTGGAAAGAGATGAAGAAGAAAAATTCCTGCTCTAATCGTAAGAATAATCATAGCTTTCTCAAGATAATTCATATTGAATTTATTATTGTTAAGTGCCATCGAGCTGGTTTCTAGCTATAGTGACCATGTATAGGGTTTCCGAGAACCACCAACCTTGTGGTTCAAACTGACTTTGCAGTTTAGTGCTTATCCTACAGTACCACATATGAACTCTATATTGAATTTAGTGGGTGTTTAAAAAATAACATTAATAAACTATATTTAATCAGACCATCAAAGAAAATAGATTTCCTAAGTTTAAATGCTCACCCAAATTTTTAGGTATTTTATTTTTGGAAGTGAATAACATAAAGTGAGTTCAAAGGAAAATCAGGAACACTATTAAAATGGTATGAAAAGGACATTTGTGGCAAAAACTTAAGAAATTGAGTGGTTCTCAAAGTGCTCTGGGAATTTCTGGGAGTTGCCCACAATTTTCTCAGGGATCCAGGAGGTCAAAACTATTTGTTAAATATAATATAAAGATTTCATTTGTCTTTTTCCCTCTTATTATCTAACAATTAATTATAGAATAGAATTTTCTGTTGGCTGTATGACACATGATATCCAACAGAGTTTGAGCACTTCGTTATCTTATCTTGAACAAGACATTCTGGATATTTGTAAAAATAAATGTGAAATAATGCCACTCTTCTCAATTTCTCTTCTTTTAGAAAACAGTACATTTCATAAAATATGTTCATTGTGCTAAAATGTAATGAGTCTACATTATTTAAAAATAAATCATTGCATGCTTTTAAGGTTTTCAGCTTAATTTTTTAAATGCTAAATATAAATAAACAATCTACATAAACAAAAGCTCAGTGGGGTCCCCAATCTGTTTTTTTTTTTTTTTAGGATTGTAAAAGGGACTTGATATTAAATAAAATAAAAAATTGAGCACCACTTAATTGCCATCAATAAAGTGGAAGGATGTGTGTGAGGCATAATGATCTTTCTATTCACCAAGAACTGGGTTGAATTTACACTAAACTACCTTCCTCAGTGGTAATGATTTAAATTCCACAATAGATTGTCAGGAAAGCTTATTTATTTTACTACATATTGCTAATCTAAATATCTAATACAGAGATTCAATGAAAACTAAATGATCCCTGTGTCATTTTATCTCAAATGTTCTTTAATTTTTTAGGGCTTCTCAATAATTTGATGACTACTTTTTCAGTTGAAATCAAGAAAGGGGAGACTATCAAAATGCAAACTTAACTACTTAACTGTTTTGGGTTTTTTTTCCAGTTTCTATTTTGCTTCATTACTGTTACTCCTAAAACAGTTTTTAAAACATTTTAATTTTTTAAAAAAGGGGCAAAAAATACAGGCTATTAGCAAAACAGCTCTTCATTTCATCTTATTGCATCCTCTGACATATGCAGAATAAATAAGAAGCAAATTCCAAAATTCTGAATGTGTTTTAGTCCAAACATTTTAATACTTGATGAACCGCTAGGTCATATCGCAGCCTCCCTTGGTGGGAGGAAAGTTTATGTCAACATCATCTGCTTTTATTTATGAAAGTCTCCCAGAGGCACATGGGCTCAGCTCTAGTTGTTGCTCTCGTTCTCGCATGGTATGTAGTAGCAAGCTTTAAAGAATGGATGGGATTTTAAATATTGGAATGTTGAAAAATACTTTGTCTTTGGCACTGACAGTTAGTTGTTAATGAATTTTTTTAAAAATTTTAAGCTCCTTTGACCTCCCTTCCTTCCAAAAATATAAAAACAAAAATTGTTTATCTGTTGCCTTGAGACTGTTCGTTGGTTCTTCTTGTAGTATTTTAGAGAATGACTAGCTCCTAAGTCCTGATATGGCACTATGGTTTATAGTGCACTGTATTGAAAAGTCTGGCTGAACTGCAAAGTCTGTAGTTCAAGCTCACAAGTTGCTCCTTGGAAACCCAATACAGTTTCGCTATGAGTCGGAACCAGTTGACGGCATTTAACAACAGCAGCAAAGGTTCACTTTGAATAGAAGCCCTCATAGCACAGTGACTAAGCTCTTGGATGCTAACCAAAAGGTCAACGGTTCAAACCTACCAACCACTGCTAGGGAAGAAGATATGGCTTTGGTAAAGATGACGGCCTTGAAAACCGTGTGGAACAGTTCTTCTCAGTCCTGTAGGGTCACTATGAAGCAGAATTGATTCAGTAGTGATACATTTGGGTTTGATTTGCCCATGAGAGCCAATGGGAGCTATTTATATGTCATATAGCTAGTTGTGTGTGATTTTGACATCTGTGAGTGCTAGGATATTCCAAGAGTGATGGCTCTCAAACCTTCTGGAAGTTTTGACAGCTTCCACATGTTCTTTACAAAATCAAACAAGCAAAAAGTTGTGGACACTGAGCTGATATTAAACATCCAGGAGATGATTTTATGATGGCCATGCTCCCCTCCAAAGAAAATTCCAATTTTTGGAGGGGAGACACCACAGAAGAAAGTTGAAGGACAAACAGAAGTCTAATTTAACTTACAGTTTTGTGGGGCATTGATTCCATCACATAAAAGTGTTTCTAAAGGGATTTGAAGTACTACAGGGAAACACAACATATATAGGTAACCTGGATAAAACTCATATTTCTCGGGCCATCCTTCCCTCATATTGAAGTAAAACTGGCTCCCCACTTGCATCACCTAGATCCTGCCCCTCACCCCCACCAAATCCATAACTCCAGTTGGAAATTTTTTATGAATAACACCAGTTTTAGTGGTAGTATTCTGGGAGATTCATATAACAAAACTCCTCTTACCATTGTTGGAAGTTTTTCACCTGTGCTTTCTCTTCTCCCCACATGCCCTTCCCTGTTCTTGCAGGTTAACTATTGTTCCTTCCTTCCCAGACTTTCTTAGAATATTTTCAGCCCACATCATCATCATTCACAAAGCAAAATCTAACTGAATAATATTCAGCAAACTGAAAACTTAGTCATTAACCAAACTTAGAACATTTCTAGCTTCTCAGACATTCCCTGGGTAGCTGAACTTCATTCAGCCACAAAGATTTCTATCAAAACCTCTTTTCAAGATTCTTCTTTCAGTTCCTTCCTTACTTAACACAGCTGTTGCTACAAATGCCACCATTTCCCAGTCTCCCAATGTGTCTTCAAAGAGCATACTCTTACTTTGTTGTTGTTGTTAAATATTTAGAGAGATTTGTACAAAATTAATTTTCGGGTCAGATTTTTGGTTATATGTTAAGCTTGTAGAATTATCTTGTTGCTGTTATTAAGTGCCACTGAGTTGGTTTCTGCTCATAGTGACCTTGTATAGGGTTTCTGAGGAGTGGCTGGTGGCTTTGAACTGCCACCTTGCGGTTCAAATCAACCTTATGGTCCAGTGCTTATCCTATAGCAGCACCATACCAGGACTCCATAAATCTGCTCAGTGGCAATAAACACTTCTTCCTCTCATTGCATAAGAATTGTCTGCTCTGCTCCAGACACTTGTGTTTTAGAAACATTGCAATCAATTTTATTCAGAAAATTTGAAATCAAACCAATAGCAGAGTCAAAGTAAATACCGTGTAAACATGCTGATGCTTAATGTTTTCCTCTTTGTTTTCACTTAGGAGATCTTGAGTTAAGGCCCTCAACATTTCTTATTATTGAGCCTCTTTTGGGACGTTTGAAGATTCAAGAAACCCAGGATCTGGATGCTGGTGATTATACATGCATAGCCATCAATGATGCTGGAAGAGCAACTGGCAAGATAACACTGGATGTTGGCTGTAAGTATCCCAACTCCAATAGACAAATTTATATCAGTATTGATCAGCTAGTTTTCCAGGCTCAATAACTTTGAAGCAGTTGGGTAATATTTGTCAGAATGATAAAGTAAAGTGAGCATTTCAAATAACAAATACAATAATGATACTTAAACATTTATTGTTTTCTATATACCAGGCACATTGCAAGTAACGTTTATATGCATTATGTCATTAAATCTTTGTAACAATCCTAAGAGGGTCATTCTATCATTATCACAATTTTATAAAGAAGGGAACTTAGAAGGAGGCTTAGAAAGGCTAAACAGCTTGACTAGAGTCATAGAGCTAGGATATTTGAATCAAGATTTCTAATTTCATTGTCCCTGGGTAGTGTGAATGGTTTCCATGCTTGCTGCTGACAGAAAGGTTGGTGATTTGAGTGCATCCAGTGGTGCCTCAGAAAAAAAGGTCCGGTGATCTTTTTCAGAGAAATCATCTATTGAAAATTGTATGGAGCACAATTCTACTCTGTTATACCTGAGGTCTCTGAGAGTCAGCACTGACTCCACAGCAACTGCTTTGTTTTTATGGTTTCTCTGACTTGAGAGATTGAAGAGATTGTAGGTTTAACCAGCATATCAAACATTGCCAAACATTTTCCTGTCAGGGACCATCCACTCCAACACCAAATTTTTATGTATTCACATTTGGAGATGAAAAATTACACTCTGGCCCTAGATCATAATTTGGAGATGTTGTTGACAGCAAAGGTAGTACATTGTGCTTTTACATTTAAAAAAAATTCATTAGCATTTACTTCCCAGTGTCTAAAATAAGGTACAAATATATGTCCAATGCAATGCAAAGGATATAGTATGTGCATGACAACTAGGGTTGATCACACAGAAAATTTTGTCTTCCTTTTTTGTTCCACCATCACATGTCCCTTTTGGAAAACTTTCTACATGATGTGATAAATTATGAAATAAAACAACTCATTTTGTATGCAAAAGGACCTTAAAATTTAATATAAACAGATAATTCAAACATTTCTATTAGTTAAGGTTTATAAGATATGGCATTTCATTAAATTGCATTTTCATTTTTATACGGTAGGGTCACCATGAATTGGAACTGACTCAATGTTACTAACAACAGGAACAGCATGAGTTTTATGCCAATTTTTTTTTTAAACAAAAGTTGAGCACTATAAAGAAAGTGTATTTTCAAAGAAAAACATAACTTGAAACATTTTAGTTTTGTTATCTTAATTTGTTATATGAATGCAATGGTCGTCAAACTTAATTTTTTTTTTTTTTTTTCAACTAAATTTTTTCCTCTTGGGATCTTGTATGATCTCTTTGCTCCTAGGCCATCTGGTGAATGTTCTGCATTCTTAGAGATTATGCCCTTGGGGTGGAATCCACATAGCTGGGAATGGCCACAAAGACCACTGTAGACTCTGTTGAGGACACAGCAAGATGTATTTGAACCATGACTAAACTCTGTGGTTATTAAGAAAAGTGCCTTGGAAATGAGATCAGAATCTCTGGGTAAAGGGTATTTTTATATCTACCAGTAGGTTTGAATGCCAGACCTAATGAGTAGGGTGATACCCATACTTACAAAATTATTGTTTTCAAGCAATATACTAGGCACAGTGTTTCAGTTCTCAACATTTTCTGATTTTATTCTCTTTCCTTTTTACACATACATTTCTTATTTACCCAAAACTGTTTAAAAACTATATAGCTTGTAGAGGAAGGAGGGGATCAGCTTCAGTAATGGCTCCCAGCAAAAAGGAAATGCCATTTTCTCCCCACTCCAAGTTTGTATAAAATCTAACAGTCTTACACATTTTTCTTTTCTTACTCACTGTCTTCTTGGTAATCTATTTAGATTTTGGGCTTTTCAGATTCGTTGTTCTGCCCAGTGATACATCAGGCTGTCTGTGCTGAGGTGACTTACGTTGGATTAGGAAACATTCCAACAAATGCTTTGTATTTATCTTTCATTCCTTGAACTGAACTGAACTTTGTTTTATCGTCAGTCTATTCAAGATCTTCTATTTCTCTGACCCTTTCGGGATCAATGGGCTTATCAATCATTCAAGTAATTGCCCTGATGGAATTAACATAGATCCAATTGCTTGCTTACTCTAACCTTGATTGCTGTAACCTTTATTGCTATTAACAGTTTCCAAATACCATTGTATTAGAGTCAGCATCCTGGTGTGGGGCAGTACAATCAGCACTGGTTTGCAAAACACAAGGTCAGCAGTTCAAACCCACCAGCTGCTCCTGTGAGTCTGAAATGGCTCAACGGCACTTAACAACAACAAAGTCAGCATCACTCTGATTGCTGTTATACCTTAACTATTTCATTATTCATTAACAGAATCTTGCTCATCATAACTCACAGAGGTTGATTAGAATTGGTCTGTTCTCCTAAAACTACTGTTAAGATCTCCTAACAAATAGATGTTTGTAACTGCTAAGAACCACGCAAGTCACAATCATGGTGATAGCTGTGGCTATCACTATTAGGTTTACAACAAATAAAAACTTTCTCCAGAATTTACATAAAGAGAATGGTCTCTTGTGAGATACTGGAAATTTTGAATACTATCATTATCACCATTGTCTGTATGACCTTTATGCCTAAGTTTTTTTATAAGCCAAGTATGTAAATGATACCTCAGAGTGGTTGTGAAAATGAGATGAGACACTCTCTACATACAATTCTTGGGGCTTGAAAGTTTGTGGACATTTAGCATGCTAGCAATCAGTGCTGTTCCTCAGAGCCTACTTCATAAAAAGGGTATCAAAGAGATGAATAGTAACATCACAAATGAAATGATCATTTTGATTCATTGAGTTTTGAAAAATTATATAGAAGTACATATATAGATTAATGTATGCATATAGCTAAGTATGTAGATAGAAAGTTATCTATAACTACATATATCTATCCTCTATCACTCATCTTTCAGTTTGTCTCACTGTAATGGCTTGCATTTTCTGTGATGCTGGAAGCTATACTACTGGTATTTTGAGTGATGGCAGGGTCATTCATGGTGAATAGGTTTCACCTGAGATTCCAGACTAAGACAGTCTTGGAAGAAGGAAAGGAAGACTACTTCCAAATGTTTAGCCTCTGGAAACCTTATTAATAGCAGTGAAACACTGTCAGATAGCACAAGAATACTGAATATTAAACATGATCAATAGCACCAGAATGTTGTCAAATATAGTACTGGAAGATGAGCCCTTCAGATTGGAAGGCACTCAGAATACAACTTGGAAAGAGTTGCTTCCTCAAAGTGGAGTTCACTGTGATGACTTGAATGGAGTAAAGCTTTTAGGACCCTCATTTGTTGATAAGACAGAACTAAAAATGAGGAGAAACAACTGTAAACAGCCATTAATAATTGAAAAATGGAATGTATGAAGTAAGAATCTAGAAAAGTGAAAGTAGTGAAAATGATGGAATGCATAAACATCAATATCCTAGGCCTTGCTGATGTTACTGTTAAGCGCTGTTGAGTAAGTTCTAATTCATACTGACCCTATATAGGGTTTTTTTTTTGTTTTGTTTTTTTTTACTTTAAGGTTTTTATTGTGGATTGAGTGAAAATTTACAGGGCACATCATCAGTTTAACATTCAACAATTCATATAACTTGTTTCATTACATT